TTTTAAATGACTTGCCTGTGACCAAAGTATTAAATTAATCTTCTACAATTTGGTCTATAAGGCCTTCTTTAATATGGCTTGAAGCTTCCTTTACTTCTCTAGTCTCACCTCTCAGTATATACCTCTCCACTTTTATAATTTTGTCTCTGCATGGAAAGACTTAACAAGCAGTCCCCCATACCTCAGTTCACCTTGATATAGGTCACTGATGTGATCTTTCTGAAATAAGCTTAATATCCTCCAGTGACTTACTTCCACTATTAGAATTAAGTCCTAATATTTACTATCACCTTTAAAATCACTTATTATTTAGTCAGCATTGTTGCCTGAGCACATAATGTTACTTTGGTCTGGGATATCAGCCACTTGGTAGTTTACTACACCCAGCTAGCTTATCCTTCAAGACTTAGCTGAAACCCCTTATCCCCTGAGAACCCAGTCTTATCAAAGGGTTGCTATCATATGCTCCCTTAGGATCTGTACCTACCTATGAAAGTCATTCATTCATTCCTCACAAATTTATTGACTGCCTATTATATACCAGGCACTTGAGAGGCAAATTGAATAAAATATTTGACCTACCAAAATGGCACTTTCCTATGGTTAGAACTAATAGATAAAAATCTTTTCCCTCATACAAGTTACATTCTTGGGAAAAAGGCAGCAAGCAGCATAATGAGTAAGTAAAATATATCCTTTGTTAAATGGTGATAAATATTACAGGAAACAATAAAGCAAGCAAGGAGGATAGAGAGTCCTGGGGTGGGAGGGAAAACGTCTCAGAAAGAAGAAGTGTTTGGGAAAGTATCTAAAGGAGTAGAGGGAACAAGCCATGGTGATATCTAGGGGAAAACTCAAAAGCCTTGAAGGGAGAATCGCTCTAGCGCATTGGAGGAATGCCCAGGAAGCCGGTGTAGGAATGAAGTGAGGATTTGCATGGAGCAAAGTAGTAGGAAATGAGGCTAGAGAGCTGAAGAGGACTCAGTTTTTATAGGGATATTGGGATCCTTGTAAAAACTTGGGCTTTTACTGTGAATGAGGTGGGAAACCACTGGAGGAGGAAAAGCAGAAGAGCAATATGATTTGACATTCACTTTTAACAGGGACGTTTTAGTTTCTTTGTAGAGAACAAACTGAAGGGAGGAAGACCTCAGGAGGAAACTAGAGCACACATCCAGGCAAGAAGTGAAGGAAGCATGGCGCAGGGTGGTAGTGAAGGGGTTCTGAGAAGTGGTTGAGTATGGATATATTTTTAAGGTAGAGCCATAAGGATTTCATGACCATTTGAACATGGAGTGTGAGAGAAAACAAGGACACTGTTGAGACATTGGGCTTGGGCAGCCAGATGGAAAACTTTAGGAGGAGTAGATGTGTGTGTGTTATCAGGAGTTTGCTTTTAGACATTAAAATCTGTTAGATATCTAAGTGGAGCTGTCCAGTGTGCAGTTGGATTAATGAATCTAGAAGTCTAGAATTATGGGGTAGGTTTTCAGTATCTAAATGATGTTTATAACCAGGAGACTAGATGTTATCACCAAAGGACTGAGTATAGACAGAGAAGTGAAGACCTGTATGGTTTGGAAACTGGGACCCTCCAACATTAAAAAGTGGGAAAGATGAGAAGGAATCAGCTAGGAGACTGAGGCAGGAAGGGGTGGTCAACCAGCTAGAAGGAAAAATAAGATGGAAGCCAAGTGAAGACAGCATTTGAAGGAGCGAAATGAGCAGCTGTGACAAATGCTGCTGATAGGTTAAGCATGTTGAGGACTGGAAACTGACTGCTAGATTTGGGATCCTGGAGTCATTAGCGATGCTGATGAGAACAGTCTGGTAGAGTCATGAGAATGAAAAAGGCTTGTTGCAGTGAGCTCAAGAGAGACGAAAAATAGGAGCATAAACGGGCAACCACCCTAATTATACCTGTTGTCTCAGTGTGTAAGTACTCCTTTTCATTCTAAAAGTGTTGTAGATTGGATGTTAACTTATATGTTAATCCAAACTATATAGAAAACTCTTTCAAGGAGCCTTGCTAGAACCATAGCTGGAGGACCTGCGGTAAACAAAAGATTTTTTTTAAACATAGGAAACAATACAGAGTATTTGTTTGCTGCCGAAAATGATCCAGTTTGGAAGCATAAATTGGTGATATAGGAGATAAAGGGGAGAATTTTGAGAATGATGTCTTTGAAAAGGCAAGAGGGGCTGGAATGTGGAGGGCTTGGCTGCAGACAGGAACTCAGTCAGTTCACCCTTTGTGATGGGAGTGAAGGCAGAGCACACTGTTACATTTCTCACATTTTATTTTGTTGTTGATGTGTTTGTTTTCCACACATTGTGAACCTCTTAAGAGCAGTAAGAGTAAATGCCCTCTTCATTTTGTGGCAGGAATTTTTATTGTTCTATTTCTATTCTCTAGTTCAATGCCTGGCACACAGCAGGTGTGCAATAAATGTTCAAATGAACAAATGAAGACACTGTGCTAAGCACGTGTATGTTTTATCTTCTTACTCAGATTGGATCATTTCCATCAAATCTTGACAACCAGATGGATTTAATCATGTTTCTCTTGTCTGGGCCTCCAGATATCTTGACTGACTGGTGGAGTTGATTGATAGGAATGATCAATGACGGTTCCTAGGAGTAAGATCAATGACCTTTTGCTGCATCATTTTGCAGGGATCCTGGTTATGGTTTTAACATGAATTTACTATTTACTTCACCTTGAACCTTCTGCAAGCCATCTCTTCTCCTCAGTATCCATTGTGCCATTTACAGTTTGCCATTCATATGGCATGTATCATTATCTGTTATTATTATCTAACTTACCTAATAACTGGGAAGGTCTTTGAGAATGGGGGTTACATCTTCCTTGCTTTTTTTCTTTGGTTAGAGAACGTGTCTTCTTCATCACTAAGTTAAGTCCAGGCCCTGTTGCAAAGCAGATGCTAAGTAAATATTGTTGTATGACTGAATGCATGAATGAATGATTACTGTCTGTGGTGCATGCTGTTGGCATGCAGAGCAGGTCGTCTTTCCTGTTTGACATGCCTATCCCCTGGCTCTCATTGCTTTGCTCCTAACAGCTCACACCTGAAATCTTCTCCAAAGTCTGTCCTTGGGCCACTGGAGCTACATCACCCAGATGCTGCAAGAACAAGAAGTGCCTGGGATTTTATGTCTTCTCCTTGGTAACCAATATCCAATGACCGAGGTGCAGGAGTATGGGAGTCTAGCTCTCGTGCCTCAAGGCAGTGCAAACTCACCAGTGCAGCTTACACTCCAGAGCTCCCTGCAGGGTCAGGCTGAGGCCAGGACTTCACCTGAAACTGTACCCTTGCTTGGCTTATTATCCTCCCTTCTCTTGCTTCCCTTTCTCCCTTGTGGGTTTCTCCTAAGGATGCTTCCTTAGTAAATCACTTGAATACTCGCCCTTTCCTTGGGGTCTGCTTCTTGGGAACTTTACCTAAGATGTTGCATGTTTATAAGCAGTTGATGTCAGGGGCAGGGAATCATAGCTGCTGTCTTTCTAAGGATGTGAAGTTCTGCTGCTGCAGGTGGTGTCTCCTGATAGGTCTTCGTTTTATATTCTGCCAACCAAAACCATAGATGATGGTGAATTAAATTTGATATTTGATTTGGTTGTTCGGTGGGAAGCAGTTTCAAAATTTCAGTAAATAATTGTTATTGAATTTAGTAAATATCTTATTGAATTACAGGTCTTTCTAACATAAAATCAGAATGTACTCCCTTAACCGTCTACTCTTTTTAATTATCCATATCTCTATCTCCTCTTAAGGAAGGATAATACAGAGTTAATTGTATAATCAATTTTTACATGATTGAGTGCATCTTTCTTTTGTCTTCCTGTTGAATATAAATATCCATTTCCACATACCGAGTAAACCGTTTTTTTTAGTGATTTTAAAAGAACACAAACTCCTTTATCGGTAAAATGGGATTGAGAGTAATGTGTTTTAGAACTGAAATGCACTTTAGCAACGAGCTGGTGGCCAACAACTTCATTTTATAGATGAGAACATTTGAGACCCAAAGAGGTTAAGTACTTTGTTCAGTATCACCCAGCTTGGTTAGTGGCAGAACAGGACTAACACCAGCTCCCGGGCTGCTGTGTTCTCCGCTGCTCCACGAAATGCCTATTTCTTATTCACAGAATTGGTGTGAGGATTAGAGACCTCACATCTGTGAAACGGTTTTAACCATTGGGAAGAAAGATGCTGGAAAGCTTTATGAAACCTTTATGAAAACTAATCCCATTTTAACCTTTTCTGTACAATTGTTAGTTTTGTTCAGTTTTATGTTGTTTGCCTCAGGCTTCTTTTTGACCAAGAAATAGGTAATATACAATGCTTGATTTAAAAATCAATATTAAGTATCTGGATTGTGTTAGAAATATGAATTACTTCACCTAGTTTTAAAGCCAGGAGAAGTTGCAGACGGCCTTCTGTAATGGCAATTTGTTTATGAACAGGAAAAGTTTTCTATTCCTACTTTGCATGTTGGGAAGAAGGACAGTTGGTTCCAAAGAAAGGGAGGAAGTATAAATTATATTTTTGTTCAGCCTGATAATACTTCCAAAGCTTGATGCAATGTGTCTTTAACAAACCATGAATTTTCTCTCCTGCCGAGCCACCATATCCTGCCTATTTTCAGCGTAGTCAGGGGACCATTATACTAATCCACTATGCCTTCATATCTCTGGCAAGCACATGTAAGTGATAACTTTGAATATTTATTTTGATGCAAGGTGTATAAATCTTCTCTATGTCATCTTGTAAAGCGAGGAAATTGTGACTTGCTCAACTTGGTTACTTTAATTGTTTAAGTTTGGTTCTTTCAGCATACTATGCTTTGATGTATGTACAAGAATACTGTTTAAGTTTTGTAGTATTTGAAGTGATTTGGGTAGATTCAAATATGCAGAGAAGATAAAATTTGAGTACCAAGAGGCTAAAGTCACTTCTCTCTCTATTTTTAATTAGGTCCGATTATATGCAAGACCCGATGCTATCAGAAGAGGATCCGGGGACTATGCTCTGCATATAACAAAGAGGTTAATAGAATTTTATGAAGACTACTTTAAAGTGCCCTATTCCTTGCCAAAACTAGGTAAGAATTTTCTTGGTTATTTTATTGGAAGGGCTCCTTGAAGGTGGAATTTCTTCTTCGTGTGTTTATTTGAGACATCCAGAAGCATGAAAATTCCAGCGGTTAAATTTTTAGAGAAGATGAGCACGAAAAATAATTTATTCCGAAGAGATAAAATACAATTTAGTGTTTCTGAAGTCTTAGCAAAAAGTGCTTTATGTAAGTTTAGGATTCCAAAAGCTAACCTAAATAGCTGTAATTTGTTGAATACATTCTGTGGAGGGTACTGGCCAACATCTTGCTTAATCTTCACAGCTGCTATGTGGGTAAGTACTGTCAGGACATTTTGCACATGCGGACGTTGAGACCCAGGGAGTCTCCCGTCTGTTCAGACAGCCAGTAAGTGAAGGAGCTGGGGTTTCAAGCTAGGTCTTGATGACTCCCAGACTATTTGATATTTTACCCTGAGAAGGTGCTCATTGATTTGTTTCTCTATCCTAATTCTCAGATGTTGGACTTCAACGTATTAGTTATACCTTAGATTACTTTTGTTCAGTCATAATTCCAATGCACATAGTAAATAGGATAAAATCAAGAGGGAGGGGAAACTATAATGATGGAGATTGTGTTCACCATGAATATTCTTCCATTTCTTCTTTTTACAAAGAGAATATGTTGAATAGTTGTTTGTTGAATGAATATATGAATGAATTTTGTTATCCTAATTTGAAAGAAGCTACTGCTTTTGCATGGGAATGAACTATGAATTTCCAGGAAGTTAAAAAGATACATACACCCATTAGAAATGCTGAAGTTATTTTTCCTTCTCAGAAGTCCTGTTTTGAAATATTGCATCACAGCAGTCCTTTGTTCTCCATCCCTTCTCCCCAGCCTTTGTCCTGCCCAAGAGCATTTTTGATCAGCAGCCACATACAATTCCTGCTCATTGGAGAGAATCAAGTGCTGACCTGGTCACACGTGTCAGTGTGTGCGCTGCAGGCTCTCCTCTCTGGAGGGCTGGGTCTGTTTTGTTAAAGCACCTGCTTGCCGTGCAGCTTCATTGGTCTTACACCAAGTCATTCAAAAAGTAGATAGGATGGCTGATGTTGTTATCAATGGGTGTGGCATACAATTTTAATGAGTCATATTACAATGTTCTGAGGTCTTTTTTAAAAATATATTCTTTTAGGATCCATCAGATTTTATTTCAAATTTCGAAACAAAATTTTATTTCAGATAGGATCTATGTTTTGTTTTGTTTTGTCTTCTTTCTTTCTTTCCCCCTCTATAGCAACTTCCCTATCAGAATCTGTTACACTGAAATCTCCCTAGTAGGCATCCAAGGCAGGAAGCACTATCTGACCTCATTTGCATGGGAGGTAACATTGTTCTGTACTCCAGGTAAACTGACTGGGACCTTCCCAGCTTGACCCTAATGTAAAATTCACGAGTGCTTATGTTGCAAGTTCAGCAAGAGAAATGAAATGTGGATCCTTGTCCCCTTCAGACCAGTACTTAGTAGAGCTCAATTTGGAACGTCAGGGGGCTCCCTGTGATTGGCAGCAGGCAGCGGGAAGCTCCTCTGTTCCTGTTTGGCTCACAGCTGAGCCATGCAGGCTTTCATCTGTGGAAAGAGCTGTATTCTCTGCTACAATTGCTTGTTAATCTGCCTTACGGTGTATACAACTGAATAATTTGACTTAGCCCAGCGCACTGCTTTTTATGTATCTAGGGGAGTTACCACAACCTGTTGTACTTCGTAAAATTTCTCTTAAAGTTCTAGTTATTTTATATTTCTGTAGATACGTGGATCTAAATGTTAATGGATTTAAAACTATGTTTTCTAAATACCCCCCACATAGAAATTCCTGAGCACAGAAGCATTTTGACAAGTCCTTACTTTCCATTGTACATTATGAATCATATTTTAAATAAATTCTATGGAAACCAATTCAGTCTTGATAATGGTGAAGGTGGATTATCCTAGATATCAGCTGCACCTGTCTTGTCTCTTCAGATCATCTAAGATGGTTTCCAAGACCATTCTCTCCTTCCTTCCACCCTCCTTCCTTCTCCTCTCTCCGTCTCTCCCTTTCTTCCTTCCTTCTATCATTTATTTAATGAGCATTTATTAAGTGCCTTCTTTGGGCACTTTTCTATGTGATGGGGATACAACAGTGAATAAAAAGGCAAAAATCCCTCCCCTCTTGGGGCTTACATTTTGTTAGAGAGAGACGTTAAAGAAATTAGTAACACGTATAGTGTATCAAATGGAGATAAGTGCCATTAAAAATAAATCTAGAACAGAGGGATAGGAAGTGTGTGGGACAGATGGGGTGTGGCAGGGGGCTGAATATTTTAAATAGGTGAATATGGAAGGCTTCATTGGGAAGCTGACTTTTGAGCAACAAACTTAAGGGAGTAGAGTAAGCCAAGTGGATATCATCGGGCAAGAACTGCAGGCAGAGGGAATCAAGTGCCCAGACTTTGAGGTGTGGGTTTAGTTGGCATATTTGAGGAACAGTAAAGAGTCGAGCATGACTGGAGCAGAGTGAGTGAAGGGGGTGAGATAGATGAGGTCAAAGAGTAGTGGGTGGCTGACAGATCATGTGGAGCCAGCAGGCTCTGGGAAGAACTTTGGCTATTGTTTTTTTTCTGGGTTAAGTGGAAATCTATTGGTCAATTTTGAGCAGAGGTATTACATAATCCGTTTTCTGTTATAAAAGGGTTATTTTTGTGGCTAGGTTGAATACATTGTAGGGCAGTGGTTCTCAGTCAAGGGTTGATTTTCAACCTCAGAGGCATTTGGAAATATCTGGGGACAATTTTGTTTGTTGCTACTCAAGGGGGATTGGTGGACTGTTTGCTCCCGGTGTTTAGTGGATAGAGGCCAGGGATACTGCTAAATATCCTACAATGCGCATGGTAGCCCTCACCGCAGTTATCTAGCCCAAAATGTCAGTAGTGCTGAGATTGAGAGATCCTGATGTAGGGGAAAGGGCAGAGGCATGAAAACCAGTTAAGAGTCTATGGAAAAATTCAGGCAAAATACGATGGTTGTTTGGGCTAGGATGTTAATAGTGAGGTAGTTGGAATGGTCCAATTCTGGACATGTACTGAAAGTAGAGACAAAAATTTGCTGATGAACAAGATTTGGGATGTGAGAGAACAAGAAGCACCAAGGGCGACTCCAAGATTTTTGGCCTGAGAATCTGAAGAATGGAGTTGCTGTTTACTGACACAGAAAGATTGTGGAAGGAGATACTTTTTGATGCTGACGTGTCTATTAAACATTTAGGTGGCACTGTGATGTCTGTAAGAAATTCAAATAGACAGCTGAATTTATAAATATAGAGTTTGAGTGAGTAATCTGGCTAGAGATATCCATTTGCCAGCATTATGATATATAAAGCAATGAGGCTGGATGGGATCAGCAGGGTTTTGAGAGAAGATTAAAAAAATAATAGGTACAGGGAGCGACTGATCCAGTGTTCAGAGGTTAGAGAGATTAGGAGCCAGTCAAGGCTACTGAGAAGGAGCAACTGGTTGAGACACTAAGTAAACAGGTACAGAATATGTGGTGTTCCAGGTATCTAGTGAAGAAAGTATTTCAAAGTATAGCAGATGATAAATTGTGGTAAGTCAAGTTAGATGAGGACTGAGAATTGATCATTTCTGGGTGCTAGGCATGTGAAGGTCACTAGTGGCTTTGACAAGAGCAGTTTCAGGACAATGCTGGATGGGTGTGTTCCAAAGCAAGTGGGGGCAGAACTGGGGAGCGGATATAGTGACTAGAGTCTGTGTGAGTACAGAGAACGGATCAGCATTTCTGAAAATGCCCCGTGGGCAGCGTTCAGGGAATACGGGGAAAGGGAGAAATGTTTGTATTCTCATAGTGTGCCTCTGCATGAGAGCTTGAACTGATAGCAGCCTTATCTCGCAGGTCTGTCCCTGTGCCAAACCATGTCAAGGAAGATGTGGGACTTGCCTCTTTCTTTGATTTGAGTTAGAAAACCAAAAACTGAAACAAATAAATAAGAAAACTCTCCACCAATTGACCTGACTTTACGGGACGCTTTGGACGGGATGTGGGTATGTGTGAACGCCAGGATGTTACATGGCAACAAAACAAAACAAACCCTTAAAATGTAATATTGGATTCTCCTTTTCTTAAAAGTCACTTTGCCATTCTGTCACAAATTCTGCAATATCTTCTCTCTTTTCTTCTCAAGTTCTTTCTCATTTCTCATGCTGAGTAGTTTAACTCTCTCTACAGTGGCATCACCTCATGTCAGCTCATCTTTGAGGGTAGTTTATCAGAATAGTTCCGGAGCAGGAATTCTGATACTTGCTGTTAGGACAACAATTTATTCTCCTGTTGCACAAGGATATTCCTTTAACATTTTTAAACCAAAATAGGCAGCCAGTGTATACTGTGCAAGGATTTGTTTTTAAATCTCTAAATTAGGTAATTAAAATTATTGGTATGAGGTTTGTTGATGTTTTCTCTTTCTTGGTGCTGAGCTGTGATGAGAGGTATGGGTCTACCTGATGGAGTGCAGTGTCATTCCCATGGCTCCACGCCCTAATTTCACGAGGACTCTCAGGGGCACGGAGGTTCTTTACTTTAAAAGAAGGTGGTTGTAGATGTAAAAGAATTGTCTGTCCTCTTATCCCAAAAACGTATTGCCCGCAACTTTAAAAACAAATGGGTTTGTGTTTACTAAATTTTGGCCACTCTTAAGGGCTTTGTATATCCTAACTCATTCAATCTTTTTCATTGCCTTTTGAGGTAGTAGCTGTTATTTTCTCATTTTCTGGGTGGGGAAAGTAGGCATTAAGTGACTAAGTAATGTACTCAGATCACACAGAAGGAATTAGTGGATTTATAATTCAAACCCAGTCTGTCTGGCTCCAGAGGACTAGGATTCTGCTGAAACAGATTTTAGAAATTTTGAAAATTCAGAGATTAAAATATGTCACCTTAATAAACTGGGCTATCTTATTGTTAGAGAGAGAAC